GGTAGCGAATAGTTTATTATGCAAATGCTCACGTTTCAAGATTAAAGTTAATACGTCTACATAAATTAGAAGATTCTTGAAGCGCATGACCAAATCGCCGGAATACCATCTCCTCCGCCGTTTAACGAAGAAAATATTTCGAACAGTAACTGGATAATATAGTATTCACTGCACATTAACTATTCGAAACGGCATTAGTACATTACACTTGTTTTAATCGATCAACTTTAAGTTATTTCTATCATGGATAAGTGGCACATTAAAATGCTTCTAACAGGTAAACTTGATTTTTTAAGCGTAAATAGGAGTAAACCAGTCTACCTTTGATGGCCGATTCGTTGATTATGGCTATTTAATCAAGTGGTGGCTAACTAATTGCAGTTGGTTTTTGCCCAGAATCTGCAATGTTTTGGTATAAGTATGTATTTTATAAAATTTATATATTATACCACATCATGCATTATATCAATTTACTCCATACTCTAAAATACTCAAATATTTATTTTAAGTGTCACTTTAAGAGATGTTCTCAGTAGATTTGAAAGAATAATGATATTTTGACTTTTGTCACTTCTGATGGCTACATCACATTTCACTGTGTGAATCTATTCATGTTGTTGTACAAAAATGTACCCAAAAAGTAATGGTGATAGAAAAATTATAGTACATAATTATAAAACTCGTGACTAAAGTGGGGTTTGTCAAACTTGCTGCATAATATTTATTATAGAAGATTTATTTTCATTTTTATTTATATTATACTTACTTACTACTTAATATTTATATTATAAAACATATTGGTTCGAGAGATAGATACAAACAAGTGAACAGTATTTTTTCAATAGATATTGGTTTCAAATCTTCCTAATTGTGATTAGGATTAATTGATTATTCTCAAAAGCCTTTTGTGAAAGCTTTAAAATATCGAAATATTTCAATGTAACAAACGCCAACGCCAAAATGGTACAACAAAACATTTTGAAAATTAAATTGAATACCATATGATCAAGTCAGTCTGTCTGTGTAGCAGAAAAGTAAAGCGCAAATTACAACAACTTCATAAATAATAGTATATTATGCAACAATTGCGGTAAACGGCATTTGACTCACGAGTTTATTTGAAACGGCGGAGCAATGTTTTCTAAACGAGTGACTTAAAATGTTTACCGAACGTGTTGCATACTATACTTTTTCTATGACCGTTAGTTTTTGACATGACCGTCAGAATTGACAAACGTCAAAATTCAAACCGTGCGGTAATATCTGTGAAAACATCCGATTGCTTCCAAACCCGTGCGGTAAAATCCCGGAAATGTCCGAAGTGGCTCGAATCCGTGGGAAACGAAACTGACGTGGTAAAGTGACGCTTCCCGCATTGGGTATTTTACACACGGCAGTAGAAAAAATTGTTGCTTTCTTTATAGCATATGTAAAAATACGGATTCCGTTGCTCCCATTTGAAGATTCATAGTTCCGAAAGAGAGACCCCAGTAAAGACAATTGACCGAAATTTTTGTGTTATTTTAACAAACTACCAGTCTTCCAAACATGGATCTGCCACTATAATTAGTAGTAGTAGTAGTCAATTAAAGTCAATTAACAGAACTGTAAGTTGGATGATAGGCGTTACCTAAAACCTCCCAACATTTTATTGTGGTTATGAATTCTTGAATAGTGAGTGATTCAGTTTTATTGCACTGGGCAGTTTATTATTTTTTGAATGGATATTTCATAGCAAACAGCGAAGTTATAAATCGCCAGCCACCGTTCAAAGTCTATCGAATTGCCTTCATATCAACTCACTTGTACCTCTAGGCACGTTTTCGTTAAACAATTTTCTTTATATTTTACCGTCTTTGTAAAACATCGACGTCTGCAGCGACGCCCTAATCTCATCGACAAATGTGATATAAATACAACGGTCTCACAACTCGCTGAAAATTTATTTGTTCCTTTAGACGATTCAAATGTGAAGTTCTTATCGGCTGAAATGAAATGGCTGTTGGCCACTAGGGGCGAACAAGTTTATATGCTGAATTTTATCACTGGAGACCATATAAATGATCCTTTTTATTAACACAACAAAGTTTCCGGATTGCAGTATGTGACTAGAGGAATTATTTACGACCGAGATAGTAAAGTTTATTTCACATAAAACCAATTTAATCCCCACGAAAGTGGTCCCATAATCTCTGCTCAAATATTGAATTGGGCACATGTAATTAAATTGTATTACAAATTGCGATGATGGATATTAAGTTTTCAAAGGCCAATAAATTTTCCGTCTTACCGTCCATCGGTGGTTATTGAAGAATTTCATTTGTTTTTTGGAAAACGTCTTCTTGACCCTGTTCGGAACTTGTCAGGCATTTTAAAAGTGGTTATTCAATTCATATATTCGCTGATACATTCTTTAAGGTATGAAGTGTTTGCCTTCAATTTTCCTTTTGACAGTACAATCGATTTCATAAGGTGTAGGAAACCTAAGAGAAGTGTAAATCTCAGATTGCTCAGCGGAAACACCGACACAATTACTATAAAATGCAAACCGCAAACGCCTAGAATTAGGTGCCATTTCTGTCTATTTTTTAGCTTTTTTAGTATTTTTGTGTTCTTGTAAATGAATTTTAGCCCTTAAATTTTGTTTGTTTGATTGTAGGGTAGTTGTGGCTGTAAACTAATATTCTATAATCATTCTTAATTGTTTATTAACTTCACGGTTAAAGACATTTTATCGGGTTTCTTTAAATATTTTAAAAATTTTGATGGATGGTACCTAGGTTTTTCAAGTGCTGCAGTTTTGTGCGTAGTTATTGTACTGACCGATTTCAGTTTGTTGAAACATCTAAAGGAGAGTCAAAATGTTTCTATTCCGTGTGAAGTACCCCAAGGCTCAAAATTAGGGCCTCTCCATTTTAATATCTATACATGCAATTTGAGTAGTTGTTTACAAGACTGCAAAATTCATTCCTGTGCTGATGATACCGAAATATATTTTTCATTTTTTACGGAAAATTTCCAGCAGGTAATCCAAATTAAAGACAAAGATATCAAGCGGGTTGAAGAGCATCAACTCGAGATAAATGCTAGCAAATCTTACTTTCGAATAAGTGTTAAAGATCAACATTTAATTTGCTCTGAATGCGCGCGAAATTTGGGACTAAACTTTGATAGTGATTTGTGTTTCAAGCCGCACGTAACATTCAAAAAGCCTATATGAGTTTAAAAAACATTTATCCCACTCGTGACTTTTTAAAAATAAAGTAAAAAATAAAATAAAATACTAAACTGATGTCCACAATTTGAATCTTCGATAAAGGGGTCTTATTTCTCCTCCCCCGCATCGTAAAGAATTGTTTGATAGATCGTTTTCCTACTATGCTTGCAAATGGTATAACGTACATACAATAACGTACAGAAACTGATGCCGACATCTTTTAGAAAAAAATATAAAACTTTTCTTTATAATCAATTTAGTAGTCAAAGATAATTAGCCGAAGTAGATTTTTATTCATGTTAATGAACTGATATATTCAATATGTATCATAATATGTTAAGATATAAGTAGCTATGATCTTTTTAAAATTGTTTTCCAGTTCCTTTTTTTGTGCAATGCTTCTGGTTTACTGCTAATAGATCAATGTAATTCCGAAGTGCAAAAAAATAGTAGAGACAAAATGGGTCATTAGTTGATATAGATCATGTCAGTATTGTGGAATGAAGGACCACCAAGTTGATGCAATAAATAAGAATTTAATTAAGAGAATGACTGAAAAAGTTACACATATATTTGCATACACATGTTTGTCCACTTATTGTTGCAAATTTGTGCAAGTAATCGACTTCAAAAAATGTATAACATTCCTGCAGGAGACCATAGTAATAGTGATAATCATTTACCGGCGGATGTAAAAGTATCGACTTCTCTTTGCTGAACGATGACAACATTCCTTTCGAGGCTCTGCTAGCAAGACAGAGGCGGACTACACGTGTGCATCGTACATCCGATAAATATTTGAAAAGTACATTCTACGTTGTAGATATAAAAAATTTGGTCATATTAAAGTAAATCAGATTCAGTGGGTGAATAATTTTGCTTTAGAGAATTGATTTTTTTATTTTAGCGCTGTTGTTTCATTTATGAAAATATAATAACGAACTGTTGTGTGATATACTTGTATTCTAAATTGGGACTATTGATTCCTTCTTGTATTATAAACAAATTATTATTTTCAAGAGTTTTGAGTGTTGCTTGTTTCCTTGCATCAATTTCTGAATCCATCGGAGAATTAGATCTAGATTCAGATTTAAGAAAATTAATAATAATTTATAATAATGATAATGTTCATTAAATTCTTCATTATTCTTTACCACAGAAAATTGACTAAAGCAAATATTTGCCCATAATTAAAGCGTGGTGAGAGAACTTCGATTCGCCTCGAAAGTCCTATTGCACTGGAAGCTTAACTTTTATTCCTTCATAACATTAATTCCGTTGGAAGGAAATGAAAAAAACCAATTCAAGCTGACCAAAGTTGCCATTGTATTTAATATACGGCTATCATAAACCCGTTTGTCTCAGGAAAGACTAATATTAGCTTAGCTTTGGTTATTCTTTGATGCTTTCCTCGATTCTTATAAACGGATTTGGCCTAGGATAAATTAGTTTGACCAGAAATCGGATTTGGTAGTTAACATCTCATTATTAGCGGATTGAATAATCTTGATGCTAAAAATATGTTTGATCCCGGTCATATGATTTTAAAACATACACTGCGGAGTGAGGCGTATATTTATTAGTTTCCTGTCGTATTCAAAATAATTTTACGCCCATAAAAATTTTTTTAAATGGAGGAGCAAACTGAATAAACACCTTGATAATTAAAAGCTTTAAAGCCAAAAATAGTACCCACTTTCCCAAACGCTAAGTGCGTCCCTCTCTCCCAGCTGCTGTGTCTGCAAGAATACCTGACCCTCGAGACTCGGATAGCTGGCTTGAACACCGTAACATGTCCGTCAGTACTTCGAGTACCGTTCCATCTATCGAGTGCCTTTTAACAATGATTTTCCGATATATAAAAAAACCGACGGATGTTCGGGCGCCATGACGCAATTGGTTTTGATGGTTTTTGTGACATCCTCTAAACATCAGTGCCAGTTCGCGATGGATGTGATAGTGATATAAATACTTTTAATGCATGCGGTGTTGAATATAATGGGGAGACTGAGTAAAATCGGACAGAACGGAGGTAATATTAAAGTGAGCTACAGGAAACTGAACAACGAGCACTCGGGAAATCGTGACGGTCTTAAAATTATGCCAGCTGTACCGGAATATCTATCGTATTGCTGTAATAGATGCGGACATACTCAAAAACTAGAGGTAGTAATCATATCAGGGTCATTGGCCATATGTAGAACGGATTTGATGGATTTTATATACTGTGCATGAAAATACTAACTAATTCCAACGTTGAAACTTATGCTGTACAACATCTTGTTTCAAATTTACTTCGTATCAAAGGATTTCGTCAATGCCGTACAACAATGTTAACCGCAATTCAACAGGAATTATTTATGCGTGCAAAATTAGTTTTGCTTCTAAACTATAATTAGCTAACAATTTTTGCAACACTGAGATTTAAACAACCGTTTAGGTTGGCGTAGACAGGCACTTAAGGCAAGATCCCAAACCCGCCGATACTTTCACTTAATATAATGAAGCAGGTGGCCGATCTGTAGAAAAATACCTTTGGCCTTCTTAACCGGGTTTTCCTTACCTCAAACTGTAACTTTTCAGTTTACAAATTCTGCAATATTGAAATAACTAGGAAGTAGAAGAATTGCATTTTTCCCCACGGTTTATCAATCATTATTATATTCAATCAACAGAAAAAGTTGGTAAAACAAAGTTTTTAATTTTGCGGACGAGTTTTGTTATAAATGAAAAGTAGTTTTGCAGTTATCAATTCCTCTATAGGAAAAGTTGTCTACGTTTTACATTCACGTTGGCATAACGACTTAATAAATTTAAAATGTTTATAAGATAAAAATGGTGGGGTCAACGAGCTTACCTTTACCGGCGTTTTTGAGAACGATTTAAGTAAAAGCAGGTTTGATATTTCATTTTCTGATTGTTTTTTCATGTTCAAGAAAAGCATGCCATTTTAAATTAGAAAAAAAAATTATTTCTATATTATTTACAAATCTTCCGGTTTCCTCTCGCATTGTTTGTTGATAAATCGAACTTGCTGATGTTTTGCCAATCATCCTGTTAGCTTATTGACGGCTAAACTGATTGAAACATATTCAGTTTAGCCCTGAATCGAACTTTGTGATGATTGGCGAAACGTCAGAAATTTCGATTTAATAACCACCGATGTAGGAGAAATCCAGGAAATTTCCAAAGTAATAGTATAGTAGTACAGAAGCGTGTAGAAGTTTTTTTTGTTTCTTGTGTTTAATTCTAAAAATTAAGGTCATTTTCACTATAAATGTCATTGCAGATTGTATTCATTTTCTAATATGGGCTTTATTAATAGTAATTAATTCATAAAGTTCTACTTAAACGCAAAAAGTACCGTGCAAGTTTACTTAAAATGAAGGCCGATGCAGAAAAATATTTTAATTTGCGTAGCTTATTTCCTGTTTGGGAGCGTTTTTTCAAATGTATTACACCACTTCAAATTGTTTTGATGTTGTATATTTTGACAAATAACATTTTTTTCAGCAAAAATGGTTCTTCATACTAAAATTTTTGCTAAGAGTACCTGCAAAAAGGCAACGGATTCAATTCCATGTCGAAAACACATCAACGGATTAATTGTTGTGCTTTTAAAAGCATTTAAAAGCCCCAAAGTAAATGGTGTATTTGGCAAACATTCATTTGCCATTAAGGGCTACCCTCACCTCGGGGTGAACTAAAGAGTTTTGTATTACGGTACAAATAATGACCATGTTAATGGTTACATTATATTTAAATATTTACAACCGAAGAAAACGTTTCGAGTATCAATTACATATTTTGTGAATATTTCCATGTTTTCTAAAATTTATGTTTCAATACTTAATGCACTCCTTTATTCAATTAATATCAGAAATACGACAATTATATATAAAAATTACCCACAGAATTATTTATGTTCAAAATAAAATCAATTTACACGATGGAACTAGATATTTTGTTATGCTGTTGTCGTTAGGTAACTTCGATATAAAACTGGCGCGTAATTAATATAGTTTTAGTCTACAGTTTTCAGATTAGAATATACCTTGGGACACTGTAAATGTCAAATATTTCGAAAACCAGAGTAATGCAAAATACATACAAATCTCCTGGTTAATAATTTACCGTTCTGTGTTAGTTTTGGTTAGTTTGATGGTGGTTTTAATATATCAGCAAAATAACTAAAACTATCAATCCAAATTCTTATGAAATAAATCTTACCTTATCTATTGGTTTACACATTCATGTTCTCATTTACTTCCTTATCTAACCTAATTTATTTTGCATATTCATATATACATTCATACATATACAAATGTGTATGGTCCGTTAATTTGGTCACTATCATATTTCAGAAAATACAAAATACAAAAGTTGAATAAGTTCGTTTGCAGTGGTGCTCAATTTTACAAAATTATTCTTGATTGTTGCATTTTGGGTTGATATTTTTAGCAGTACAAGTTGTTTCGGAAAAACCTAACGTAAATGGCTTTTTAGAGGTTCTTTCTTTAGTGTTAAATTTGAATTTAGTTCATTTTTTTACACAAATTAATTTTAAACGGCAAAAAAGATAAAATGATGTGATTTAGAGTTGAAAAAAAATTGTTTCATTTTTGACTGCATTTTTTTTAGTGATAAAAAATCTAACCAAAACTAAATAATAAAGATTTCCTTAAATAAAAAATACTTTCGAATAGGATTACCACGAAATAAAATAACATCAAACGCAAATTTTATATCCCCCAGCAAATTGTTGGATGTTCATAATAACCTCCACGTTTCTCGTGCGAAACGCCGTTAAAGAATATACTAATAACTTACAATAATTGCCAGGAGAAGCATATTTGAAGGATACATTCCATTGTCGAGAGGAGAACGTTACGCCAAACAATTTTTATACCGGCATTCCGAGTGCTCCAAGATGATTGTCATTTTTCTCTCTAATTTGCAAAGTTTGCGTTCTGAGAATAATTGAGATACCTGGTACATTATTAAGACCGTATGAATTGAATTGGGAATGCCACGGATGTGCTTAATATTGTTTTCCTGCAACTTATTAATGTAAAGTACCTCCAAAAAATGCAATCTAAACACGCCAAAGCGATATACCGGGTCTTCATTTTCAAAGTGATGTAATTAGGATGAATGATCAATTATTAATATTTTACACAAAATACAACCATATAACACATACATCATTTTATTAATATCCTTACAGCAATTTAGATTAAAAAAAAACTTTTGATTGGGTCAATAAATTTTCGATTTTTAAATTGTCCAATCCAAGAGCTATAAAACTAAAAAACAGACATTTGCCGAACAACTCACACCAAAGTAATCCATTAACATCATGTTACAAGGGACCCGCCAGATGAAGCAGGTATAAACCGTAATTTTATTTGCTAACACAATCCAAGTTGTTGTCGTTTCCTCTTTTTCGATATATCAATAATATTTAGTTAGATTTGTCATTTTTCTTTCACTTTTGTTTATTTATAAAATTTACAAAACAACACTAACAAAGCATTTGTAGAATGATAGAAAAATAGATGAGTCTACGAATTGGGCCACTTTAAAAAATATAATATGCTCTCTAAACTTTTAGGACTTTTCTAAAAAAAAAATTTAAACTGTCATGCAATTCGCAGAAAATGAACAAACTAAATAACACAAATCATAAAATTTACCAAATTTTTGCAAAAATCAATTGTCAACAGTCTATAATTATATTTACCTGATTGAAGTGTCCCAATTTAAAGCAAGAGAAAAAAATATTTTCTATCGGTTCATACAACAGATCAACTGAAAGTGTTGCCCAGCTGTATGATATTATTTCAATTAGATTAGTTTTTAAAAGGCCAAGAACAAATATAAAAATTAAAGCAAATACATACCCAAATTAAACCGAACGAAGCTCTGGTTTGATTATTTTGAATATAGTGATGCTTTAACTTATTTATTATTGTGTTCATTAAATTTTTGTTAGGATGTTGGATCAATTTTTATGTTTTATTTATTAATATAAAGAGTTGAAGTCTGCATTAATATTTTCTTCAACCACCTGAAGTATTAAGGAGGAAAGCGACATTTTAATTCTATAACTTGTAATGTGATTTGATACAGGACTATATTTGCTATTTAATTCTACTTAGCGTTATAGGATGTCCCATTAATAAATCACTTCTTTTAGATCACAATGTAATCAACATCTAGCTATTATTCAAGGTACGTAGTATACATGTGAGGCTAGTAAATTTTCGTATTATGGGGCATTTGAATTTGTCGTAGAGGTGTATTTTTGAACTGTAAGTGTTTTTGTTCGGGCTTAATGGCCGTCGTTGAGTGGAATTTCTTCCTGACGTTTCGCTAGCACGAGCAGCTAGCTTCTTCTGACGCGCTCCCGGCCGAAACTTGCATTTATGACTGGGGAATCGTGGAGGGGAGGGGGCGGGGCATTTTAACGCATGAGTGGTTGTGAATACCGGGGCTGTCCTTGTGTTCCTTAAGATGGGGTGCCAAATTTATTTGAGCTGCAGTGTCTCTTCTTTTCTATTGAAATTATTTGTATGTTTATGGATTTCTATTGCTTCTCGTACGAGGCGGGCATGATAGCTCGAAGTAGGCGCAAGAAGCCTGGCTTCCCCAAAAAGGAATGTTCTGATCCCCTTCACTGAGCGCGTGTTCCGCTACTGCCGATTTGTCCGTTTGTCCCAGTCTGCAGTTTGTCTGATGTTCCTTTATCCTGGTTGCGACAGAACTTTTTGTCATTCCAACGTACAACTTTCCACAGGTGAATGGTATGCGGTAGACTCCGGCGACTGACAGTGGATCTCTCTTGTCCTTGGCTGATCTTAGCGTTTGTTGTATTTTCCTTGTTGGTTTAAATATTGTGTTAATATTATGCTTTTTCAATATTTTTCCGATCCTGTCTGTCACTCGAGGAATAAAAGGTAGATAAGCACTCGCAACCGTTAGTTGTTCACCCGGGTCTTGTCGTGAGGCAGTTCTGGGCCTCATAGCCTTATCGATATCAGATATCCCGTATCCATTTGATTGGAAGGCTTTTTTGAGGTGATCTAGTTCTGCTTCCAGGTGTTGTGGATCACAGATCCTCCGGGCAGGTTCTGTTAAGGTTGTCATGATTCCTCTTTTTTGAC